TGTTGTTGTCATTTTTATCTATACCTGCTTGTTGTACTTTTCTCCAAGTTTAGATATCATAATGAGGCATTTTATTCATGTTGGTTTACTTGCTCTTCGTCGCATTACACATTGGGCAGTATGGACAAGAATGTGACTTGGAAGGGGCCGGCTTACAATGACTTCCTGGCAGCCAGGGATGAGAGCTGGTCCTTCTATAATAGCCTCCATGCCAGCAGTTAGACACCCCCTCAGATCTCTTCCCCTCTCATGTCACTCAGGAGTCTCTGAGTTAGAATCTGGAACAGATAGTGGGAAATGAAGGAATCTGAGAAAGAAAATCTGTCTTACAACTTGCTTAATGTAAAAACGTTCTTATCCACAAAAATGAGACCAAAGTAATTACATACCTCATGAGGTGCTTGTGAGGAGTAAATTCGAGTAGATTGAAAGGTGACTTTAGGGGAGTCGATGAGAGCATCTAGTGAAAAGTGCTCTGTCAATTTAAGGGATCAGTGTTGGACTTAACAGGGCAGCATTGGCCCAAGTCCCACAAATGGAGTCACCGGGAGTGCAAATCATTGCTAAAGCTTGAACTCTAGGCTTTGTAATCTAGAGATGGGAGAGATGTAAAACATTCAGCTCAACTCTTCATGTTTAAATAAAATTCTAAATGAATTTAGAATTAGCTTTTTAAGATATTGTATTTGTAGTATTGGGGCATTTGGAAGGCTTTTTCTTTCTTTGTTTTGTTTCTTTTTTTTAAACTAAAATAATTTTTTCCCCCACAGGATTAGATTTCTTTCCTTTCTTATCAGGAGACAATCAGGTATGTTATATGAAAAAAATACTGTTATTTTAATTCTAAGTTAAAATACTTAAAAGTATAATATGTAGCCAAGAGAAAGAAAATAAATTTCCTTAGGAAATTCAGAGTAGTTATACCCATTATTGTTAAGGTTTTAAAACTTTAAATAAAAGTCCCTTTGTTTCAGCTGTGCCTGAATATATAGTAACTACAGTGTCTATTTGTTGGTTCCCAGTACTGTTTTATAAAAAACAGGGCAGTGAGTCATATTGACTGATAAATTTCTTGGCCATATATCTCCAGAAGATAAAGAAAGTGGACTCTCCAGTTTCCTGCTGCTTCTGACTATATGCCTCTTTGGAAATAGCATTATGAAAATTGCTTGCAATACAAATTAAAACAAAAAAATAATATTTTTATTCCCTCCCACAACGCCCCCCCCCAGTTTCAGACAAAAACGTCTCTTAAGATCAGTGATGTGCCAATAAAAATTAAAAGGTCAATGATGTGATCATTACATAAGACCATTTGATTTTGCAAAATGTTTTACTAAATATTTCAGAAACACCAGGTACTCAGAATATATTAAATTTAGGACTTTGTTCTGCTGAGAAGAAAGTTTATTAATTTATAAGTATAATTAACTTTATTTCCTGTGTTTTGTTTCCCCTCCCTAGCATTATAACACCTCCCTGCTTGCTGCTGCAGCAGCAGCGGTTTCAGATGATCAAGACCTCTTACACTCGTCTCGGTTTTTTCCATATACCTCCTCACAGATGTTTCTTGATCAGTTAAGTGCAGGAGGCAGTACTTCTCTGCCAGCCACCAATGGAAGCAGCAGTGGCAGTAACAGCAGCCTCGTATCCTCCAACAGCCTAAGGGAGAGCCATAGCCACACCGTCGCAAATAGGAGCAGCACGGACACAGCATCCATCTTCGGCATCATACCAGACATTATTTCATTGGACTGATTCCCTTGCCCCTGCTGCTCCCATCCCTACCCCAGATTAAATGAACTTGGTAGAAAGAAGAGAACTTTGTGCTATGTTTTACCTTATTCTGTTTAGAAAAGTACACAAGCGTGTTTTTTTCCTTTTTTTTAGGGAAAAAATTAAAAGAAATGTACAGAGAACAAAACTATATTTTCAGTTTTACTTTTGTATATAAATCTAAGACTGCCTGTCTGAAAAAACACTTGTAAAAAACAAAAAAAAGGAAAGAAAAGAAAAAAAAAAAGAAAAAAAACGAGTACCCACAAACCACCTTCAGTTCATTCTTTCTGGATTCTGAAGATTTTTTTTTCATCATTTGTCCTATTTGGTTTTATTTTACTTCAATGGCATTATTTTATTTGCAATAACAGAAAAGGAATTGCATGTATGAAGTTTTAAATTGTGGGCTTTTCTTTGTTGTGGGGAGGGGCTGGGGGGATAGTTTTAATTTCCATTTTCTAAAAATGACAGACTTGGATTCTGTTTGTGTGTGTGCATATTTTATCCAGCCTTAAGTTATAAATCTCATCTGTTCCTCTGCATTCCCTATGTATTTTCAGGACATAGCTTGTGGGTGTGTGTGTGTCTGTGTGTATTTTTGTGTCGTTACTGTTCCTTCTCCCGAGTTTGCATTCAGTTGATAAATCAGTTGCCTGCTTCTTTAAAAGTGCTTTGAAGGTCTTGAACTCTCATATGAGCATCTTTATCGACTGTCCCAATTGCATGTTCTCCATCACATATTGTCTCTTATTTGCTAGATACCCCTTGAGAATATGTTTCAGAGATTGGAGTAGAGCTATCTGGGTAAGGAGTAGGCTTAGCCGACCTGTGAATAATACACTTTGGTCTAGTTCTTTATTTTAAATTTGGATTGCCAGTATTATGTATTTAAACCAAGTCTGTGAACACCTGCTTTTTTGGCCACAGGGTAACAAGTTTTCATGTGAGATCTTCATACCAAAGTAGGAAGTAAAAATAGCTTAGAAAGCCCTGTTGGATGTCCTGTGCAGCTGACAGAGGTAAGGCTATATCACCTCAAAAAAGAAAGTCAATTATCCTTAAAAGTAAATTCTCTTCGGAAAATACAACGCACCACACATGTCAGTCTGTAGAAATCTATCATCTGATAAACAGTTGAAATTCAAAATGGGCTTGATCCTTAGTCATTTTCACTCTCTGGTTCTGAGTGTACTTATTTTTTTAGCCTAGTTATCTTGTTTGTTTTTCTTCATCTTTTAAAGACAAGCATGACATAGGAAAGTCAAATCTTTTTAAGAATTCATGGATCAGTCTGATCTACTCTTATTAATAATGGAAATGTAAATATATTGAAAACTGTTTTTCAGGAAATGAGTGAGGGTTGGAGGGAAGGAAAAAGTGGTTCTACTTGTGTTCCAAAATCCTCGTCAGAGAAGGTCCGTTTTTCAGGTAATATCTGAAGGTGTTGAAAATATTGTTTATCTGATTGAAAGGTTTAGCAGAAAAGAAGAAGAAGGGGCATAACGATTACCAATTTTCCAGACTGGATTTTTATATCACAACTGTTAATGTTCTCAGAGTTGATGAAGGACCACCTTTGTGTATAAAATTGTCATTTTAAACCTTGCAGTGGTAACAAATTGACCTACTTTAATCCAGTTAGAGTTCAAGATGGCTGTATCTTCAGTTGTCTGATGAAATTAATGGTTCACATGACTGTGTGGCATCTAAACATACCTGTTTTTACAGTATCTCTCTGCCACCAAATTGTTGACTTGAATTTTGAAAAACAGGTTGGTATTGATATGTATATGTGTGTGTGTATATATGTATTTATAGACAAGTGTGTGAGTGACAGCTGAGTTATAGTCTTCCCTACGCATGTGTATTCCACATATACATGGCTGAGTTATAGTCACTAAACAATTTGCAATAAAAAAAAATTCATTGTCAGTTAAAACAGGAAATAGTTAAGTTTTTAAATGAATCTGGTGTTATGTGAGTACACACTTTAGAACTCTCATTGCCATGTTAACTTAGGCTAATATCTAATAGTATTATAATTTGTGTCTAAATTCAGATTGGGATAGAAATTACTTAAATTGTAGGGAGTTGCTTCTTATTTCATATTGTAATAGGAAACGTTTCTGTTAATTCAGCTACCTAAGATAAAATGAATAGTTTTGTTTTTCTTTATTTGTTGTTGTTAGTGGTCTCAGAATTCTGATCAGTAACTTTGTGTATGATGCTGAATAACAGACTCTTTGAATGATCCAGTTGAAAAACCGTCCCTCTACTTTCTTCAGCCCAGTTTTGGAGAGGGTTATTTTCTCTCAGGGTCCTGCGTTATACCAACCGAAGGGAAGAACAGGTAACAGGGAGAGATAAATGTCTGTCTAGTAGCTTTGGTCGTGTCTCCGCGGGAGAAACTAACCATTCAGTTTGTCTTTTTATTTTAGTTCATTCCACTCTTAAGGAGTTTGTTCCCTTCAGTTGTTAACTTTCTAAAATGTTGCAGTAGTACTAGCTATTACTCTGTTGGTCTCATGGCCGCTATTAGTCAATCAGACTTTTTATGGTCCATAGTAATTATTAGTGGAGTCATGCACTGCATCTTTATCTTCTAAGTTTTTGTTTGTTTGTTTTTAAAGCACAGTTATTTCTTTTTTCCCTAGCCCACTGTCACTCCCCCACCCATGCTAATATTGACATGCTGTCTGTGGACTAATGACTCTCAGAATCTTTAGTCAAGTTACCACCATCCCCTTGCCTTGGTCGCTCATAATAGGTGCGCATATGTTTGTGTGTCTGTATAGTTCTCTGTGGGGGTGTGTGTGTGTGTGTATATGCACACACACACATCTTTAGTATAATAGCTGTTTGACTAGCAGGGTTGAAGTGGCTTTTAATGATTTTGTGGGCATTATTGAACACATGTTTTTAAAAGTATCTGGACCTTAACCATGCCACGCTTGGTTGACTAATTTATTTTGAGCATTAAAAATTTTCTACTTCTATTAATGTAGACATTATCACAATTCTCTATTATTACTGACTTAGAAAAGATACACTTAAGCTTCTGAGAAATGTGATTTCTTGGCAGATTTTCCTTTGAGTCAAATGTCTGAAACTGAATGAAAATACATCCCAATTTTAAATTACTAATTGTGGAAAGAACATTGTTTTTAAACAGCTCCAATTTTAAACACACAAAACACTTCAAGATCTTTAGGACTTTAAAGCACATTTGAAATTATTTTAGTAAGAGTTTTGTTTTATCAATACATGTTGAATTCTGTTTTTTAATTAAAAGAAAATACAAAGCTTAGATTTCAGAAAGAGGGAGGGAGAATAGCTGGTGGTCCCAGAGTGTGCTGCTGTTAATTGTTTAATTAACAAAGGGGAAAAATGTATATAAACAGATATAAAAGTTACCATAAATTCCATGAACTTAAATCTGTGATTCATTGCCTTAAAACTTTCTCTCTTAGAATTTCCATACCGCATGCCAAACCAGTAAAATGGCTTTTAAAAATGTATAGTAGACCAATGTCAGTTTGTATAAAAGTACCAAGTGAAAATATTTATTACATGCATTGGAAAAAAAATTGTTTACCTATTGAATGTTACCTGTTTATGTAGAGCTCTTTAGATGTAATAAAAGAAAAGCCTTCAGTTAATTTGTCTTCTGTAAAATACACTGCTGGGTATACAAGGGGACAATCCCTATGAGAAAAAGTGACAATGCTTTGTGCTTCCAGAGCCCCTCTGATCCAGAGATTTCAAAGCATGACAAGTAACTCATTCTCTTGCAACATGCTTTCAGGTAAGTAACGAATATACAGCTATCATTCCCCTTTCTTACTGAAATATGGCTAGCTTTGTAATGAACCACAGCATCCGTTTAGTTTTAAATCTGTTTAATCTGCAATTTGATTGTTAAGAGCACTGTGGCCTTTTTTTTGCAAACAATACTTGGTGCTAGGTAAACCAACAGGAATTTCAGGAATGAGCAGGAAACCCAGACATGGGGTAGTGTCAGAGCCTTTCCTGGGGTAGAAGTTTAAATCAGAGCACATCCCAGGATCTTGGAATCCTACCCACTGAACACCCTTAATGAGGAACACTGAGTCAGTGGACACAAGCCCCAGGTTCTCAAGGCCATTACACACCACTTATGTGTTTTTGGCAAGGTCTACTTCAGGTTCCTGTTAGGCAAATGAGATTCATAAAACTTGCTTTGAAACCAAATGGGTACCGTTCAGTGGCATATAAAGACAAAGCTTTGAGGGAACGTACCCTCGTTTATTGTTATAGCCCAGAACCTCCTTTTCCTGTCCCATCTAAATCACAGGTATCTACTGTCTAATCCTTGGTATTCCAGAGTGGCTGTGCAGGACTAACTTCCTCATGTCCATGATGAGTTAAAAAGAAATGTGGCGCACTAGGACCCTTGAGCCTTGCCTGAAAGTGAAATATAGCAGTTCAACATGGGGTGCCAACATCTAACCAGCCCTCAGATGGATTTACCATGAAGGTAATGAAGTTTAAGCACCAGGGCCCCTCACTTGCTCTGGTCTCTTCCAGGGTCCCAGGAGCAGCCCTAGTAATTCTATATTTCTACTGTAATATTCTTAAGAAGGCCGCCGAATCGTATAACCCTCAGACCCCACAAAACCTGGATCTGCCCCTGTACCGAGTGAGCCTAAGATCCCCAGCCTGACGATCACAAGGTCACCTACTTGGTGTTTTGGGGCCCATATACTGCCTGCCCCCACAGAAGCCTCCTCTACAGCTCCTAGGAATTCGTACTCAGTTCATTGGCAGTTACACTGTTGGGGAAATGAAAGCGGCTCTCCTTTCTCAGGACCTCCATTTGGTCTGAGGCCGTGCAGCATCGTGAGATAGCTGCACTAAGACTGACTGTTTTGTCCCCTGAAGTTTACCTTGTTCCTGGCCCTTAGATTTGTGTTCTGTGTAAACCTCCCCAGAGACGCACCTCCCTCTTAATTCGGTTTTCTTTTGCTTTAGCCACTAAGGCACAATTAGAAAAAGCCACAGCCCAGAGATCCCAGTTTTGATACATATAAGGATGAAAATCTCTGTAGTTAAGGGTTCTGCCCCGCTCCGCCCTCAGCATGCTGGTGTGTGACTCCAGCCCGATTTAGGGCTGTGCTGGCGCTAGCAATGGATCCACACCGTTGATGAGTGCACAGGCAGCACCAGCCTGGCACCTCCTAGCTACATAACTAACTTAAAAAGCCACTTGTGCTGGAAAAGCTCCCGGCAGGACCAGTACCCCTACTATTGTTTTCCAGGGCTCTCGCTGGGTCACGGCTGTGGCCTGTTCCATCCCCTTATTACTTTCCATTAGTCCTGAGGAAATGGCTTGAAGCCATCATCAGTTTGGCCCACTTGAGCAGACCATCCCAGTCCCATGAACCTCTCTGATAATGGGTCAGGGAGGAGCTCAAAATTCTGACAGAAGCATCATAACAGGTCTTCTCAAGCTCTGCAAGGCCTCAGTGAATGCAACTCGTCACATCTGGTTTCCTTTGGTTTGGGGTGTAGTCGGATCATTCTTCCCAGGGTTTAGCTGATGCTGCCTTGTTTTAAACCTGTTTTTTATCCTGTTTATGAATGAATATCCTGAACTACATTAGTATGCACTGGGAATGAGAATTTGTATGTGACCCTGTGGTGCTGCAAGAACTGTTGCCAGAGAGTTTGAGCTCTCTGTCTGTTGCTGTTTCTCAGCTAGCTTTATCTTGGAAATGCGGAAGATGATTCTAGCACCCAAATACAGAATATTAGTCTTTCGGTAAATTGCCCTTTTTAGGAGAAGCACGACCATGGCAACCCAGGATTACACAGTGCTCTACAAATTGCAAAGGCCTTTTGAAGACCATTCTCAACAGGCTCCATGAGGTAAGAAGTAGGAATCCACCCTCAGTGAGGATCCTAAGGCTTTGAGGGGTGAAATGATTTGCCCAAAATCACCTGACTCGGAAGTGGCATAGTCAGGACTGGAACCCTGGCCCAACTCTAAACCATAGGCTCTTTCCATGATATAAAGGGCTAGACTGATGGTAGTTAGTTATTAAGATCAGTAAAAATCTTTTATTAAAGACATGCTAATACTGTAGCTGAAATCGTTTCGTTTCCTTGCTAAGTTACCCTCTGCTGTGGTCAGGTATGTCATCTTGCTGTGTTTGCCACCTCCCACAAGTGAAAGGAATGCTTTTCTTTTTAAAGATTCATCGGTCTGAGTTTTCCGGCCCAGGGGAGGCTCTCTTGCCTTCTCCTCACTCAGTAGTCCTGCACAGGAATGGTGATCTTGTGGATAAATTCGTCATACTTCACTTTGCCATTAGGTTCAACTTCTGCTTCCCTGAAAAGATCATCCACTGCAATAAATCACATTAACTTTTCAGTTTGGCTTTAGTGTTACGTTATAGGACATCCAGTTGGGGGTTGGGACTCCCTGGAGGTCTTCCCTGAGCGTCTGATTGACTATTCCCGTAGATGAGGAAATAAACCAGTGGAGGGAACGGGACAAGCCACCCCCTACCCCTTGGAGACCATGTATCCAATTTTGAGTTCATCAGGCTTTCTGCAGGGGCCAGGGTAGGGGTGTACTGGTAAGGATTCAGTCACTGAAACCATCTTGTGCTTTTTTTTTTCCCCTTCAGAAAATGTCTGGCCCCTGTGCCAGTATTTCCAGAAAACTTTGGCATGAATCTTACCTTCTACAGCCCACCGTCTCAGCCCCCTGCAGAACAGACACCCTCTGCAGCTCCATCCCAGGCCCCCCAGCCCAGTCTTTGGCCTGCCCCTGACCTGCCAGTCTGCCTTCCAACTTGACACCCCCCCACCCCAAGGGGGCTCAGTGACAAGTGGTACCTGCCACCATCACCTCTTTTAAAAAGTGTGCGTTTCGGGGGTGGGGTACTGTAAGAGAGAATATATTCAACTGTGTCTAAGCTCAAAGCCTACAAAAAACTGCCATTGTTCTCTAATGTTGCTCAAAAAAAGAAAAAACAAAACCAAAACCCCAACATTTACTGGTTCTGGATCCCTGAGACAAAATACTAGCTTCTCCCAGCAGTTGACAAGAGCCATTTCAGCTTACACTTTTCCACGGTGGCTTCTCAGGACCATCCTCACCCTCTTACAAAACTATCACTGCTCTGTGTTAACTTCCCCGGCCCCAGGCACCCCCAACATAATCCTGGGTAGTTGTTAGAAAATATCCTGTGACTGCCTGCTTAACCATCCTCCTCCAAAAAGTAATTACTGTGCTCTGTGCGTAAGCTGCTAGCACTGCTGAGTATTTTCAGAATGTTGAGACTGTAATTTATTTCATAGAGATGCTTCTACCCACCAGCCACTTGGTTAAAACCGTCCCAATGGACAGGTCTAACACCAACCACTGCAGCCTCCAACTGTCCAGAAGAGGGGCAGCTGGAGTCTGATGATGCCTTCTGGGTAGAACGGCGGTTCCCTGTGAACCCACAAAGAACCAGGTCGCAAAGGAGGCCTCCCTCCCAGCCATCTCAGCTCCAAGGATGCTTCTGTAGTAAAACTGAAGCTTTTTCTTTCAATCACTGAGGGTAAAGGAGTCTTACTTCTAGTATCATCTTTCCTTCTCCCACAGCCAGAGGAAGGGACATCAGTCTCTGTCTGGAAGACATTGTCAGTTTCTTTGAAATGTTTCTTTACTGGTTAAACAAATGAGAGATATGTTTGAGTTTGGGGGCCATGGTATTGCTTTAGACAGAGATCATTAACCGTAAGAATAAGGCCCCTGCTGGCCCTCTGCTAACAAACACTCCACTTGGTACATAAAAGCCCAAGCAGTGTCCTCAGAGCCTGGGAGGGAAGGAGAGCCCGTGTTTCCCTGTTCACGTTAAAACAGACACAATGAAAGAAAGACGAGATCGTGATAGCTGCCGGCCTGAAAAAGCGGGGGAAGCTCCATCTGCCTTCTGTAGAGCTATTTTTACATGCTTTGCGCTGTGCCTTTGTGACTGCAGATAAAATCTCAGCAGACTGCTTTATAGAATGTTAGCTCTTGGAGGGACCTGAGGGATTGTCTGTTGTAACCTCATTTCCCAACGAGGAAACTGAGGAGGGTGAGAGAGGTTAAGAAACTCACCTGAGGTCCCCCAGAATGAGGGGGAGCCAGGATTCAAGTCTGTTTGTTTGTTGTGATTTAACCAAAGGCTAAGGCCCATCACTACTGAAGCCTTTTTCCTCCTGCCTCAACCATAGGCAGTGGCCCAGCGCCTAACTAGAAATCCCAGCCTCTGGGGTTGGTGGGTGTGGACTCTGGTAGCGACCTGGCATGGCTGCCATGGCTGGACCGAGGGGCCCACCAGGCAGACTGGGAGAACACCTGCAAAGGGCCCAACATTGGGGTCACCCTTACCATGGACATCAGGCTTTCCTAGAAGACCCAAGCCTCTCATCCTCTCTGAGGTAGGAAGGCAGGGAAGGTAGGAGTCAAAGACCACCACGGACACCCCTTCTGGAAAAGCTCTTAGAGCTGGCTGAGTCGTGGGGAAAGGGAGCACAGTAACATCTCAATTTAGAAACTTGGCAGCAGTAGCAGCTTCAGAAGACAGCTGTGGTGAGAGGAAAGAGCCTGAGAGGGGCTGGGGGGCAGGGGTCCAAGTGTCTAATAGACCTGCATGTAGCTCCCAGCTCTGTTACTCAAAAGCCACTCACTGCACCTGTTTAATCAGTATGAGGGGGACACTAGTGCTCCCAGAGCTGTCATAATCACTAAATGAAGGCCCACAGTGAAAGTTTAGAACACAGTGTGATGCCCAAGTAGATCATAACTGGGTTTCCCCAAGCCGTCCCTTCGCCCTGGCTAATTTCTCCTGCCACCCACAGGGTCCCTAGTTCTTTTCTGGGATCCAATCCAGAGTTCACTAAGCTCAACATCTAGTTACAACCTTCTGGCGCATCCATCAAATGCAGTGCCTACATAACCCAGGTGGCATGGATTGGGCTTTGGTGTCCTTCCCCCAACCCCTTCATCACCTCGTGCTGTTGGGAAAGAGGGACCCAGGCCATTACCTTCTTTGTGGGTGAGCTTCTCTCCCAGTTTCACGAGTTTTGACCGCAGTTCAGACGCCATGATGTAGCCTTTCTTCTCCTTGTCCGCCATCAACATGGCCAAAAGAATTTCCTTCTCTGGGTCCTCTTGTTTTATTTGCATGTGCATAATGGTCAGGAAAGTAGAGAAATCCAGCTCTCCATTTCTGTCTAGGAAACCCCCAAACACAGTGGAGTGAGCAGGGAGGAAAAGGCTTCTCTTGAGGAAGGCAGCTGGGTTCCTGCCTTCATGGCCAGCTCAAGGGCCACCTAACTCAGGAAGCACCATGATGGAGGCAGTGGTCATGGGGAAGAGGATGCACCCTGTCCTGCTGAGTTCCCACCATGGATATTCCTCATTTAATCCTCCCAACAACCCCTTAGTGACTGGTTATCATCGCATTTTGCCCACTAAGGAGACAGAAGCTCAGAGCGAAGAGTCACCTCAGAGCAGTGGCAGGACTAGGATGAAGCACTGCCTCCTCTATCCCCTTCTGGATGCTTCTCTCCTGCCCTGAACTGGAGGGAAGTGCACCAACATGTCTATCCCCCCTTTTGGCAGCCACTGTAACACATTTACAAAGATAGACAGATGACCCCCACCTGGGGCCTCAAGCCTCTGTCCCACCAGGCTGTTACTTCCCTCACTGCAGCCTCCACCCCAGTCCCTCCAGCCCACACCCTTCCTCCAGGCATGCCTGGGGACCTCAGCCCAGGCCCTGGCTGGGCTACAACTGCAGGAAGTCAGAACTGCCCCTGACCACAGCTTCCTGTTTGCAGGAGACAGAAACCAGAGGAAACCACCACCCCTTCGGAGATGGAAGCAGCAGATCTCAGTTGCTAAGCGCCCCATCACTGGGCTTGAGGCCTTCAGAGGCCCACCCCCAGGCCCAGGCTGGCCTCAGGACGGGCTCCCAGTGCTACTTCAGGCACCTCGGATGGGACCTCAGGTTAACGCTAGCAGATGGTGGGAACCCATCTGAGAGATGAAGAAACTGAGGTCCAGATGGGCTCTTGATCAAGTGTTCTTTCCAGGCCACCCTTCTCTTTCCTTCCTGAGTGTCCAGCCACCAATGCAAACAGCCATCCTGGCCTCTGACATCCCTCCCTCTTTTTCTTTAAAAAATAAAAACCGAGCAACAACAAAAAAAACTTGGTTTTGGTTATGAAAAGTCCCATATGTTTCCATTGTCAAAAACAGAGGAAACAAGGAGAATGAAAATCCCATAATCGCATCACCAGAGAACCATTTGGAGATCAGAGTTGGGTTCCAAGCCTGATTCCACCATTGGCGTAAGCACTTGGGGAAGTTACCTAATGGGCTCTGAATCTTGATCTTTGTCTGTAAAACCCGGATATGGATAGTGCCTCCTTCATTGGGTTGTTGAGCTAAGCACATGACAAATAGTAAAGGGACACTGTTCTATCAAAACAACTTTGGGATCACTTAGCACTGTCTGGGCTGCAGGTGTGTGATAACCTTGTGGGAATGCCTAGATCCCTTGGTCCTCTGGGATGGGGGTGTCACCGGTTGCTGTGAGGATTCAAGGAAGCCCGAGTGACACACAGCACCCAGCCGGTGAGCTCCAGCTGCAACTACCCCTCAAACTTCTGAGCGGTTTACACCCGGGTCATCCGCACCTGCTTGCGGGCCCCCCCCCCCCCCGGACCACAGCTGTGGGGCTCAGGGCCCACCCTCAGCCCAGACTCCTCCTTCCCTGGCAACTGGCCCGGCCCAGCCAACTCACCTATCCCGTGCGTCTGCAGGTGCCGCTGCACCTCCCCCGGCGTCGGGCTGGCCCCCAGGCACCTCATCACCATCAGGAGGTCAGTGGCTTTCATCTTGCCCCGCTGCTGCTTGTCGTACAGGGAGAAGCATTCCTTGTACTCTGCCAAAGCCCAGAAGGGAGAATCAGGAGCCGCCTTTCACCCTCCACCCCGCCTCTCTGTCCTCTCCCCCTCTTTCTGCCCCTCCCCTCCCTTTTGCCTGCTCCCCTCTCCTCTTTCCCTCCTAGAGTGGCCAGACAGCAAAGAAAAAGACAGGGCTGCCAGGGTAAACCGAACTTCAGATATTCTAAAAAATGTATTCATTGTTTAAGTCGATCCCAGGTTTTGCATGGGACATACTTATAAAGGTATTTGTTGTTTATCTGAAATTTACATTTAACTAGGTGTCCTGTTTCATCTGCCAACCCTCTCCCTTCCCTCTCCTGACTTCCCTTGTGCCTCCTCCCTCTCGCCCTCCCTGCTCCCTTCCTCAGTCGACTAAAACCAGAGGAAAGCGCTCTCTCACCCTCCAGGGCCAGCCCAGGGAGACCAGGAGCTCACAGCAGGGCACCAGACTCCCAGGGGACCTTGGCAAAGACAGCTTATGTGGGAAACAGGGACAATAATGCCTCGGGGCTACGGGTCCTCCTTTCTGGGAAGGACCAGAAATCCCCTCGGGGCAGGCCTGGCAGAGAGGCTCTCATATGTGATGACAATAATCACAACTGTGGGCACTTCTGAGTCTACTGCTCCAGCCGCCGGCCTCCAGGCTGCTGAACTCTCAAGCTGCTCTCTGACACAGGCCCTGGCCCCCTTCAAGACTTCAAGAGGCGCTGCCAGGAAGTAGTCCCAGGCTCTGCTGAGATCCTGCTTGCTGCTCTCCCCAAACCCTCTCTACCCTGCTGGGGGCCAAGTAGCCTCCAGATCCACAGCCCCCCAGGCCCAGCAGAACCGACCCCCACCTGCATCTCCCCCGACCCCCAGCCCTGGAGGCACAGTGAGGCCAGCCATGAGCTTGGGAAGATCAGGGGCCCCTCATAGAGGTTCTGACCACGGGCTGTTGGTAGGGCTCTCATCAGAATTGGTCAAGACTCCCCTCTCGTCCAGTCCCTGGGGCCCACAGGGTAGAGCTCCTGCTTGAGCCCCGCTCCTGCTTGAGCCCCGTGCAGGGAGGGCCCTGCGCTGTCCTCAGCACCCTGCTCTCTCCTGCTTCCCACACCCAGCTGGTTCCTCAGAGGCCTAGACCAGTGGCTCCTGAGCTGATAACAAAACCAACCGCAGCTCCCGCTACTAGCACTTGCCCCCCAGGCCCTTGTGTAATCCTCACTGTGACCCTGTCGGGGTGGTACCTTCGTTGTTCCCATGGTGCAGATGGGGCGGAAGGCTGGAGCAGAAGACTCGCAGTGGGCAGCCTGCTCTGCCCCGGAGGCCACACTGGATCTCCACTCCCAGGCAGAAGCCACCAGAGGGCAGCAGAGCGGGAGAGACGCCAAAAGGAAGCCCAGGCCTAGGGCCCTTTCATGGTCCCTCCTTAAGGCCTCTCCTGGCAGGAGGATTTCAGGGAGGTTGCTAACCAAAGGCAGGCCAGGCAGTGGGGTTTAGAGACAATTAGCTGCTTTTGTGCCTGTGGAGAGGTTGAATGGGAACTTTCCACCCTTTCAGAACTTTGCAGAGCCTGAGCTTCAGAGGGGCAGACCACCAGCAGGACCTGGTGGCAGGGGCTGGAGTGGCCCAGGGGAAGCAGGGCCAGAGCCTGGCCTAACCCCACCTTTGGTTCCTGCCAAACCTAATTCCCTCCAAGAAGGCCCAGTGCCAGTGGGGATGGGGGAAGAGAGAGGGCCACCATGTGTGCAGGGCTTAAACTCAGCTCTCCCCTTCCCCCTCCTGGGGACCGCTCTTGGCCACCCCACCTTGTCTTCTGTCTGGCTTGTCTTCTGTCTCTCTGCACGAGGGGTGGGCCCGCTGCCTTCCTGAGACCTCATCCTATGACAGTTGACCATCTTCCGACAGTGGCCAGGTGGGGACATCACATTCTTGGGGCCTAGAATCCACCAGGCTCTACAGGGGGGAACATTGCCCCCTGCCCCCATGCCCTGCACCACGGGGGCCCGTGGTCCCTGATATCAGCAGGGCTAGGGTCAAATGGGGGCCCACCTCCTCAGTTACATATGTGTTCTGTCTTCCTACCTTTAGATACCTGGGAGTCTGGCTCTGAACTTGGAGTTCTGCGCTGGAACAGGGCTCTTCTCCTCCCACCCCCTACCCCGCCCCCCTTCCCCCCAGACCTCCACACCTCCTTCCTCTCCCTGCCTGGCTCTCCTTCTGATAGGCCAGCATGCCATCCAACATCCTGTTTATGTTACTACTTTCCTGTTGTCGTCCCCCACCCCCCACCCCCGCCCACCATCCCTGCAAGGTGAACCCTGTGAGCACAGGAATTTGGGGCTATTATGTGCACTGCTATATTTTTAATGCCTAGATCTGGGCTGGCACAAAGAAAGGACTCATAACTGTTGAATGAAAGAACAAATTGGGTTAAATAAATTGAATTAAAAATCCCCTTTAGGTTTTCCCTTTGAAAATACAAATACCCCAAGGCAAGAAATAATCCTCCCCAGGGCCTAGGATAACACCAGTTGTATGCTCGGAATGTAACAACCGGCTCTGATGATATACGTACATAGTTTAAGTTTTATAGACTTGAGGATGTGCAGCACACAATTTACAAATCATAAAATATACTCGATTATAAATTCCATCTAGCCAATTGATTATCACAGTGAGTTTTGACAGCTCTTGTAGCCATTGCCAACCTACGGTTTTGATTTAACCATTAAGTGAGGTAGGCTGCATGCCAATGAATGCCACTCTTTTCCCAATGACTGTACTATCATTACATCTGATAAGTGATCTATTAAACTACTTCTCGGCCTTTGTGCAAATTATATTCATTAAACTGAAATCTTTCAAATCTTCAGCACTATTGACTGCAAGAGATTTTTCTAATATATATCTAAATTTATTTTAGGCTGCATTGGGTCTTTGTTGCTGCGCGCGGGCTTTCTCTAGTTGCAGAGAGCGGGGCTACTGTTTGTTGTGGTGCACAGGCCTCTCATTGCGGTGGCTTCTCTTGTGGAGCACGGGCTCTAGGTACGCGGACTTCAGTAGTTGTGGCGCACAGGCTCAGTAGTTGTGGCGCATGGGCTTAGTTGCTCCGCGGCATGTGGGATCTTCCCGCACCAGGGTCCGAACCCATGTCCCCTGCATTGGCAGGCAGATTCTTAACCACTGCGCCACCAGAGAAGCCCCAAGAGATATCTTTTAAAAATGTTTATACAGATGGAGGGATTGGAGCATTCTTTCATCTTCCATTATTTAATAATGGCTGATTTTAACAACCAGCTCACAAATTTCTTAAAACCGTACCATCTGGCTCACGCTAGCAAGAGCAAGCTGGCCCCAGCGTACGTCTGGGTGACACCCAGGCCCAGTGTCAGGCACATGGCTGACATATGCTGCGTCTCTCACAGCAGCCTGGTGAGGCAGTGTCATTAGCCCCACTTCACAGATGAGACAACTGAGGCTCAGAGGTGACTGGACCCCAGGTCCACTGCCTCCAAGGTCCCTGGTCTTCCCACTGCAGTCTTTCATTCATTAACGTTTGTGGTCACTTTCTTTGTGTCAGACATTAACATACAAAGGGGAACTTACCTTCTTCTCTTCTGGGAGGTTCAGAGGCCCCAGAGGGAGGGTGAGCCTCAGAGCCAGGTGTTGGTTGGGGGAGGCTGAGGCTGACAGCTGGACTCCAGCCCTGAGACTCCTCAAGTCTTGCCTCGAGACCTGGGCAAGAGGGGCCCCTGCCCTGGGCCTTGTGTTTTAAGAGTCCCTGCTCTGTTCCCCCTCGTGGGGTAAGGATATCAAGGGGTCTGTAGGGAGGTGCCTGCAACCCACCCACCCACTCTCCCTTATAGACCAAGCTCCTGGTACACAGAACTCTGGAATCCCTGCCTAGGTAACCCTCAGTTCATCTCCCTACTTGAGCTCGGATGGGCCTCCCCAGCCAGGTCTGGGCCCCTGAGTTCTGTGTAACCCAACCCTGTTGGCTTGGCCTTGTGGAAACAGAACCATGCACTGCGGGAAACTGAAGCCTGCTTGGGGACCAGCAGGTCAGGGGACTCCAGGAACAAAGTGCTCCAAACACCAAAACTAGGCTTGCTGTCAGGACAGAAGGGACCTCAGAGACCACCTAAGCTGACCTTCCCCCCTTTACAGATGGGGAGACTGAGGCCCAGAGCGTAGAAGCATCCTGCCTGAGTGTGCAAACCTGGGCTCTTTTCTCTTTCTCAGCCAGTTACAAAGCCCCCTCCTTTGGTTGGGTCCTCAGCCACAGCGGTGTCTCTCTGTCCATCCCCTTTCCCTCTCCTTCCCCAAATCCAGCTATCAAGTTCTGGGGGAAAACCCAGTGAGCTCCCTCTCCTATCACTCCCTCTTGTAAATCACACCGACAGGCGTGACACCAACATCTCTTACCTCCGAGCTTTGCCCCCCACCTGCACCTCCAACCCAGCCCTTCCCTACAGCGGCCGGCCCCTTGCCTGTGGGTGGGCCCAGCTCTCCCACCAACCTCCTTCCCTCCCACTAACAAAAAATGAGCAGAGCAAATTGCCTAACGAGACCCACATTTTGCTGTGAGTTGCTAACGAAAGAACAAACCAAACCTACCATTAATTTGGTCCTGGGAAAGAAACTTGGCCTGCAGCAGAGAGAGGAGAACAGTCAGGGAGGGACTCCACAAAAGCCCCCCAGCCACCCCAGCCCAGGACAGCTCGACAGGGCCACACAGACCCTCACTCACCATCGCGGGGCCTCCGGTTGCCACCCGTGCGCTTGCTGCTCCCAGAACCGCCTTCCTGTTCCCCTTCCTCCCGGCTTCAAGTCGAAAGTCCGCCAAGCTGGGTGGAGGCCCCGGTTATAAATCCACGGCTGCCATGGAGACCTGGCCCAACGCCAGGGGTCAGATTCCAGCTTCCTGTGCACTGCTGATGCCCGGCCTGCCTGGGCTAGTGGCAGGTTGGATTCTGAGAGACCGGGGCTGCACGAGGGCTTCCCCAGCACTCAATCTTGCATCAGGAGGCTGAAGCTCTGTAGCCAGAGGACGAACGCTGCTGTTTCTCCCTGGGAGCCCTCTGTGGACACTAAGAAGGGGTGACACACAGGAAACGGGTCCCTGGCCCTGCCTCCGGGGGTCTTTCCTCTCTCTCTCCGGGGACTAAGCTGGGGGCTGACAGGCTCTTCCTAGGTGTCGGGTACTTTGCACACCGCCTTACTTAAGGCTCATCACACCACCTTGTAGGTGGAAGGAAACCCCACTGTGACGGCACGGCCACCTCCACTGCCAGAGCCTTGGGATGCCTCATGCAGAAGGGACACAGCCACTGTTGCTCTAAGGCCCCTCTGCTGAGTGACTGGCGTGTCACGTCACTGCCCTGTGCCTCGGTGTCCTGGCCGGGCCTCGTCACAGGGCTGTTGATGGTCAAATGGCTGGTGCACCGTCAGTTCTCAGCATGTGTGTCAGTTCTCTCCCCTCCTTCTGGTGGGGGGGGGTGCGGTTTGGGGTGGGGACGCAGTAGATGCCTGCGTTGCGGTCTCCGGCCCCACCACAGGCTGCCCAGGGGGCTCAGAGGGAGGCCTCTTAAGTGACTTTCCCGGCTGGGAAGTCTCCCCCCTTTTCTTCCTTTCCCTCCTCTCCCCACCACAGCCCCCACCCCTTCCGGCAGAAGCTGCTGACTCTCCCCACTTCTCAGTGGTTTGTGCTGCCCCCCACCCCTCCCCACACCCACCGAGGAAGTGAGGGGGGCGGTTCCCTGGAGCTACAGCGCTGGGCACAGCTAGGTTCTCCCCGTTCTTCTCCCAGACACCTGTTATATCCCTTGTCCACGGCTGACGGCTGTCCTGCCTGTGGGCTCCGACTCCAAGGTCCAGCCACTTTGTCAGGACCGACACGTACGGCTGCACATGTTGTGCACTGCACCAGAGCTCCCGGACCAGGGACAAGTGGGTCCTAGAAAGGGGCTGCATGTGCGCAGAGGGATGCGTTGGTAATTGGCACATGGACAGCTGGGGCTCTCCTTTGTCCCTTGACCACCTCCATGTGGAAGGTTCTCTTTTCCTCCACTTCGCGTCTCTCGAGTCACCTGTTCACACCCATTTCTAGACCCAGAGAATTTCAGCTGGAGGATTCACACTCTTCCCGTTTGGGCTGAGTAGAGGAGAGACTGGAGGGAGGCAGGAGAGAAGGGGAACTTCTCACTGACAGCCTTATGGGAGAAGAGGAGACGGGACGTCAGGTGGGGGCTTGGAAGGGTGGGGAGCACAGAGCAGAGGCCTGGGGGGAAGGCTGGCAGGGCCGGGCCAAGTGCTTACTCGGAATCTCCCTGTGTCTGGAAAGTGTCTCTTGGAGGAGACATGACTGTTGGGCCTTGTAGTAACCCAGCCTCGAGACCGAAAAGCCCAGAGGCAGCGACAGAGATGACAATTTGTTGGATAGGGGATCTTACGTGTCCAAAACGACATCCTGCAGCGACTCCCCACTGTGGATGGAAGGTGGCAGGCAGGACACAGCAGCAGTTTTCACTGCTACAGGGGAGGAGGAGGCTACCAGTTACAGGGGGAATTGGCTTCAGGTGGGCTCCTCAGTGACCAGGCAAACCAGCAGCTGGGACAGGGGCAAGCACAGAGGTAGCTAGTAGTTACTGATGAAGGCCTACGATTAAGAGGATTGGATAGTCATGGGAGCGAAGCAGGGCCTGGTCGAGCTGGGGATGTACAGAGAGCAAGAGAACAGCCATCTTGAATGGCCTGACCATACACTCCACCCCTACACACCCTATATGACCCTTACAATCTTGGTCTGACCCTCTTCCGCCATATCCCTGGGGTCAGGTATGCAGAGGGCACTGCAACCAAATACCACAAATGCAACAGAGTCAACAGCTGCTAAGGAGTATCAAGAGTCCAAGAGGTGGGCAGACTTTGGAGCCAGGCGCTTATTGGGTCAACTTTTCATGGAAGTCCAGAGGAGGATGACGACAGCATCTCGCTGTAGACCCAGCAGTCAGACTTACCAATGGCGAGGCCACCACTGCTGTCCAGGTCCCAAACAGATTCCCTCTGCTCAGGCTAGGGACGAAATATAGAGATGTTTTACAGGCACGAGACGGGGGGAAGATCATGACCCTGAAGCCAAATACAAGCAGTAACAGCATTCTGAGATCACACCACCCCTACCCGTGGTCTGCATCGCAGCCTGCAGTCCCACGCCGTCTGTCCACCCTCAGTCCCCACAGCCAGTGCCAAATACTGGAGAGGGCGCATAACAGACCATAGCGTTCATATAATGGTGCTTTCTCCAATAGGGGCCTGGATTAATTACCTTAGTGGTGTTAGGCAGGGCCAAGTGGAGGACAGGTGAAGCCTGTGAGTCCCTTTCTAATCCTATTCCCCATGAAGCAGCAAACCCAAACCGCTGGGGACCTACCTGCCACTCCCAGGCCATTTTGTACTGGGTTCCCCTAGCAATAGGTCCGGCGGCCAGGGTGAAAACAAGTTATTGTCCTGATCAGTACTGGTCCTTCGGTGGTCAACAGTTGAACTTGGATGGTGTTGCCTAGTTGCTTCTGGGTTAACATGCTGCAGGCACTGGGTCGACTGCTCCTGGGATGTTCAGTTACAGCTCGGAGGGGCTGAGTTAGCGTCCTGGTCCACGTGTCAAGAGAGCGGGTTTCCAGTTTCACTAGCGGGTTAAGTGGTCCATTCGTCCCTCGGCTTAGCCCGGCAGCAGGGGCGTTGTAGTGCAGGGGGAAATGCCAGTGTCTGTCATTTTTATCAGCCCATGCCTGAATTTCGTGGCCCATAAAGTGGGTTCCTTGGTCACTATCGGGGTCCTTTCCCCATAGGGTCGCCCCGCCACCATCCACTCCTGGGCTATCCACTGCATCCATCCAGATGCTGTCCGTTGCAGGCCGGCTGGCCACTGCTGCCCACCTGCACTGATTACCCCGGGGGCCAACCCATCAGTGTACGAAACCTCCCAAGGGATGGAGCCTGTGCCTTCTTCCACTAAAGGTGGTATCTCAGGAGGATCAGCTGTCTCCGTCAGGCCGGTGGGGTCCTCCGTGGTGTAGGTAACCAGGCCTCAGCGTGTAACTCTGCACTCGGTGGGCCAGTAGGTCAAGGGCTACGTTGCCTGCAACAGACACGCCACTTAGTTATGGTTCGGACTTGTGCGTGCCCGGACTTGGGCTTCTGGAAGGTATCCTTTAGCCACTCAGCTGTGGGATCCTGAGTACGTACAGTCACTGGGGTGCCTCCTGGGATGTCTTTCACCTGTTGTGAAGCATTGTCGATTGCCCAGAGCTGTTGTTCCATCCCACGGCATCGTTATTCCGCCCCCTTCCACGGGTGGGACCAGAAGCCCAAGGGCACTCTGGTGATTACGCTGTTACCACGGGCCCCAACCAAACCGTTTCAGGTAACTGGCCACGTCCGACTCACAAGCCTGTCCCTGAGTCCATATCCCTAAAGCCCTGGATCTGTTTAACAGCCACCTTGGCTTGGGTGAAGGCATCTTCCTCCCCCGGGGTCCTGTCCCACTGAGCTCCCTTCTTTACAGGCTTGAACAAGGGTCAAAAAGTTTGGGCCAGATGCGGGATGAGAGGCCTCCAACAGCCCAACAGCCCTAGCCAGGTCTGTAATTGTTTCGGGGTGATGGGCCACAGGGGTGCTTGCATTTTGCCAGTAACTGCTGACAGTACCACTTTTGGCTTACCTGACCAGATAACACCCAAGTATTTGACAGGTCATCCAGGTCTTTGCCTTCTGTCTGCATTCTCCAGCCATCCCTCTGCCGTCAAATGAGCTCCAAGCGTGGGGGCTGCTACTTTGAAACGGGAAACACACCCTGAGGTTAACAGAATATCACCATTATGGTGGGAGAGAGAGGCATCCCTCCTGATGGTCTGCTGCCTCCGCTCCGGGGGAGAAAAGAGCTCTTCATCTGCGCCTGGGGGACAGGGAGCTCGATGACCTCGTCCCGATCTTCTTCCTCTCCATCAGTGCTCTCTGTAGGGTCCCACGCCTTGGGGTTCCCATCTGGACGGGCCCCAGCCATCTGGACTCCCTGTCGGGGAAGCTACCTTCCCTTCAGCCACGCGGCGTGGTGGGCTGTCTGCTTCCCATCTTGTTGCCTCAACCTGGCCATTAACGTTCCGGCAGTTTTGGTTTGGGCCAGCCTGGCACCCCACCTGTAGGCCCCTAACCTGAGCCTTGGGCACTTGCTCAGTGTCTGTGGCCTTTCTCAGCCTCCAAAGCAGCAGCCAGCCCACAGCCATGGCCACCCCTTCCACCGTCTAGCTTCTTTTTCCCCACAGTAATGGCAGCGACATCTCTGCAACACCCTCAGGGTGGTCTGTGGATTCGCCAGTCTCTTGGCGGCCCTCATTCATCAAGGACAGACGCCACAGGGCCCCGCACACGAGTGGATGGCCACCCCCCGGATTCCTCACAACGTTCCATTCCCCGTCCTTCTTCCCCGACATCTCGGTGCGCCCGGGAGTTTCCCCGGCTTCTCGGCTGGCTCGCCAATTGTTGGGCTGCACTCCCGCAGGCCTGCAAGCCTTGTAGTGGCCCAGCCTTGAGACCAAAGGAACAGCCCAGAGACAGTGACAGAGACATCAGTGATTCGTTGGATAGGGGATCTTACACGTTTGAAGCAACATCCTGGAGCAACACCCCACCGTGTGCGGCAGACAGGACTCGGCAGCCATCTTTGCTGCTCTGCGGGGGAAGGAGGTTACCAGTTATAGGGGGAATTGACGTCAGGTGGGCTCCTCGGTTACCAGGGACTAGTTAAGCCCTACGATTAAGAGGACTGGATGGTCATGGGAGCGAAGCAGGGCCTGGTCGAGCTGGGGATGTACAGAGAGCAAGAGAACAGCCATCTTGAACGGCCTGACCATACATGTGACATTTCCTTGAGTTTAGGTCAGTGTGTGCTAGAGTTTGGGGCTGTGTCCCCAAAGGCACACCAACTGAGACACCCTGGCCAACTCCTTTTTTAGGTGTTTTTAGGTGTCTCTAAGGGGTGTTTCTCATGACTGAAAACACCTGCACGGGGTGGTGGCTACCTGAGAGTTCACTATACAAAAATTCTCAAGGTGTATGCTTTACCTTGTCGTGTGTAGGCTACACTTCAACTCAGGCCGCAAAACAGAAACCCCCTCCAATGCCACTTGGGGGCTGAGATTTTGTTCACCTGAAGGGCCCCATCACCAGAATTTCTGATTCAGCAGGTGAAAGGGGGAAAGAATCTGCATTTTCTCCTGCCATCTAGATGCTGCCAGTCAGGACCATACTTTGAAAACCATTGGCCTAGAGTTTTCTAGGTGGAGGGAAGCCAGGGGGCAATTAAGAAGTATTTCTAGGGCAACATTTTCAGTAAACTGCCCAAAGAGATCTTGGTCAAGAGGGACATGACTCTCCAAGGCTCCAATAACTTGCTGTGATTTCTTTTCCATTCTAAACACTCGTTTTCATCTAATTTTTTATTCACTTTTTTTTTTCAACTGTTTTCTTATCAAGCACTCGCAAAATTGTATAAGCTTCAGACCCCACATAACCAGGGCTATGCCTGCTCAGACGATATCCATTAAGTCCTTCTATGGAGAACAGGCCTGGAGCAGGCTTTGGAGTTAACAGTGGCCTTGAGGTAGGGAAGGGGTCAAACGAGGTTGCTGGGCAGGTGGGGGCCCTTGTGTGCTGAAAGGCCGCAGCTGGCTTATGAATTAAGAATGTAGAGACTTGTGACCTGCTGATTCAGGGGGCACAAGCCACCCACGCAGGGGCGGCAGGCAGCTCCCTCGGCATCCAGCTCCCACTCTGGGGAAATGAAACCCATGGGGTCCTTTTGATTGAAGGCAGTTTCAATACATCCACACGAAGGAAGTAGAGCCACAAGATTTATTGTTTCAGATCCCAGACGCCAGGGGGCGCAATGAGTCAGGGGTAGGACCATCCTCCGTCCCAGATCCTGAGGGAGAAGAGAGCAGGCTACCAAATACCTATCTAAAGCGGGAGGGGTGGAGGTCACCAGCTTTTTATGGGTTTAAACCCTGAGTGGTTATTTTAAAAGGTGCCTGTGAAAGGCAAAGTGGGAATCCTAAACTCCAGTCTTTATGTCCACACTCTGGGTGTGGGAAGGGTCACCGTGCTGTAACATGCCTCGGCAGCAACGCTGAAAAACAAAGCTGCTTTCCTCAAAAGGTGTTTCTCTCATCACAACATGGCCGACAATGCGTCTCCTGTTCAGCGTGGCCCTCCCCTGTGTTTTCTAGTAACAGTAGCCCACAAAGCCCCCGGTGGCTGTGTGGTGAGGCTGAGACCCTCAAAGATCAAGAGCTGAGGCCCCAAGGGATTAAACAACTTGCCCAAGGCTAAGTGCCAACCTCCCACAAACCAGGTCCGCCACCTTGCCCCAAAGGGCACCCTCTCTGCTTCAGCCCCTGGAACGGGCTGGCAGCACAGCTGGGAGGCTCAGTGGGACATCTCTGAGGGGCAGGTCTGGAGATGCCCTATGCTGGTCCCCACCCCTGAGAGCCACCCCCAGACTCCTCTGAAGAGAGCTGGGACCTAGAGGAGGCCCTTCTTGCTCCTGAGGTGACCCCCAACCGCAGGATCCTACTAAGTGGCACGGAAGGCCAGCGGCCAGTGGCAACAGCTGCTCTCAGCCACACGGGGCTGAGTGGGCCCTTGGATCAGCCCAGGGCTCCTGCCTGGGCCCCAGACCAGCCACTCCCTCCCCTGCTCCAGGGACCGCCCTCCTCCTGCCTCCCAAATTCACTCCCAAAGTAAGAAGCAGCAGCAGCCAGCCAGGCTGGGCTCCACACCGCCTTTAGTCACACTTCTCACCCCTGATGCTGACAGCAGACGGGGACTGATGGGGGCTGGGGGACCACTGCATGCAGGGTGAAAGGAGGCTCTGAGGCACAGGGCTCCCTGAGAGCACAGGAGAGGAGGCGGGGCCGGGGGAGGCGAGGCAGGTCCCCGAGACCCCTGCGCACACGCAGGCCGGCACTGCTGGGAAATGAGGCCGAGGGCCCGCAGCCGAGGGAGGAGACGGGGCCCCAGTGCCTCGGGGGAGGCGGGGGGGGGTGTCCCATGGGGAACGAGGGCCCCTTTCCTGGGAACAGGCCTGCTGGTGGCAGGCAGAGACTGAGGCTGAGACAAGGCTGACTGAAGAACCTCACGACGTCCCCACCCCTAGTGAGCGGCTCAGGGAACAGTACAAGTGCGTGAGAACTCTGCCTTCGGCGGCCACTCAGAAACCTGCAGTCAGCCTCACACGAAGGGGTGCCACGATCCTGGAGTGGGGAGGGAGAGAGAGCTTCTGGCAGAGGGAGACCAGAGACCACTGCCAGACCCTGAGATCAGGCCGGTGGGTGGCGGGGAGCGTGGCCTCTGGCTGCCCACGGTCAGGTGGCTCGACACCCCGTGCAGCCTGAGGTTGGGTGAGGATCTGGGGTGCACATACTCCTCCGGACTCAGTGTCGGCTGCTGACGTGGAGGGTGTAGAAGGCCCAGGGCTCAGGGACGTAGATGACGCCCGGGTACTTCTTCCTGAGTACGGGGTCATTCCATAGCCAGGCGACCCAGAGCGCCACGAGCAGGAGGGTGAGGGCAAAGGAGGAGAAGAGGAAGAGGCCGTTGCTGTCCAGGAAGAGGCGCTTGCGCTTCTGGTGCAGGACAAGGGCCAGCATGGCGAAGAAGGTGAAGATGAAGAGGATGAAGATCTGGCCCTCGGTGACCAGGTACCTAAGGAGGCCCGTGCGTGAGCGGAGGTGGGTGCCGTGACAGCCCATCCTGCCCAGCATCCCTCCCTCTACCCAAGTACCAGGCTGCCCACCCAGTGGGTCAGATTAGCACGTCAAGTGAGGGGCTGAGGCAACCACTTCACTCTGAGCCGTGGCCCATACGCAGCATATTGATTTGGCTTGTAGAGTTACTGTTTTTTAAAACATTGAATTTGTTGCCAGTATGTAAATAGCAGATTACCTGCCAATGTGGAGTTCTGGTTTCCCTGCTCACCTTGGGCTTGTATTCCCACATAACAATAACGGATGAGGAGAAAGCAGCGGCTGCCTTTAGACAAGAGCATTGCTCTGCAGCTTGCCACAGTCCCCACCACTCCCTACTGCCTCACTTGATGCCTGCTTCATGCATGTCTGTTACCAGCTTGGTTCCTAAAGGCGTCTGAGTTTGGGAATGCAGTTTCAGCTGATGGGAGCTGTCATTACTGTCTCGTTGAAGGCTGGGACAGTCTCATCTCCCAGGGTTCTCTCCATCTCTTAAGGCAGTACCTAGCATGTGGCCAGGAACTCAGTAACACTGGCTAGAGGGCTTCTGAGAGGTTATCTCGTCCACTCCCCTGCCTATAGATGCTGACCCATCCCACTCAAGGAACTACATAGCTCTGCAACTTAGTGGCTGTGTCGCCTTGGGGAATTTACATGACATCTTGGAGCCTCTGTTTCCTTGCTAATAAAGGGGGCATAAATGGCCCTATCTCTCAAGAACTACATACTTGGAAAAGCATATTGTTCAATAAACGGCCTCCTGTAGCTATCACTCTGGTAGTGCTATGGGTAAGAACGGGCCGAAGCTCCTTCCCACGTCTCACCTGTTTCCCTCCAGCTGTAGTGGCCACCCATTCCTGTTAATCCTGCCCTCAGCGGGCATGCGGATTTGCCCTGGTGGACCCCCACTGCTGGCCACGGGCAGCCCCTGGAGGTGGGCCGGAGCTGGCCCCAGGAGCGGAGGCCCTTTTCATTTGGCTGGAGGCTTCCCACCAGAGAAAGGCTAGTTGTTTCCAGGACACCCACAATCCCCAGGGGAGCCTTTCTCCAGAGCGGAAGTGACAGAGGAGGGGTAGGAGCCTGGCTGAGGCCTGGAGCCCCTGGAATGGGAAGAGAGAGCTGGAGGGAAAAGGAAACCAGGCAGGGAGCCCCTGAGGCCATGGAATTCCCCACATATCTGTCCTTGTCATCTCCATGATGCTCCATAGTTTACAAAGCCCCTTTCTCTCTCCCTGGATTCTCACCATGTCCTAAAAGGGAGACAGGTGGGTATTATTCCCATTTCACAGAGGAGTAAATTGAGGTCCCAAGGCCTTTACAGGGCCTGGTGTCGGAGATGGATTCTATTGGCCCCGAGGTTGCACTCTGAATGTGAAGAGGTCACACTCAGGCCTGGCTTCCTGGTCACAGAGCGGCCACCATAAGGCAGTCACAATCCCCACTGAAAGAGGAGGAAGCAGGGACCTCAACAGGGAGAGTCTCACCTGGGGTCACACAGCAGCCCTGTGGTCAAGAGCACATTTTCACTCCCTGGCTCACTAAGGGCTCCCAGCCTCCCCGCACCCCAGGTCCAGCGTCCACTCACCAGTAGTACAGGCCGCTGGGCACCACCAGGGGCAGGGCTGGTCCTGGCATTGAGCTCTCAGCTTTGGTGGGAGTGAAGCAGCCGCTGAAGTACATGAAGAGGATGAGGAAGAAGGGGATGTACCTGCAGCAGGGAAACCAGTGCTGAGCCGCCCAGCTGCCCCCACCCAGGGCCTCTTCCCCGCCCGTCCTTGTACTGGTTCCCGGCACCATTCTATGCAGTCTCACTTCGTGGTTTACAAAAATGCCTGGTTCGGGTGGCACTCTTCCCTGGCAGCCTTTCCCGAGCAGGGGGTCCAGGAGGGAAGCGGGAAGATGAGGTCTGCTCCCTGAGCACATGCTGGTCAGAGCCCCGCAGGCTGGGGGGTGCGGGGAGGGGCAGCTCCCTCCCACGCGGCGCTGGCCACCCCACTCACTCCGTGTGTGTGTGTGTGTGTGTGTGTGTGTGTGTGTGTGTGTGTATCTGCCTCGTGTACGCACCCAAATACCAGCAATCCCAGCCCCTCACTGCCCTGGAAAGGGGTGTACCCAGCAGGGTCGAGGAGGGAGAGGCCCGAGGTCCCAGTTTAAAATAAGGTGGGGGGGACAGCACCTGCCAGAGGACTCCAAGGAGCTCTGTGAAGCCCCTTCACCCACACTCAGCCCACAGCCTCACCCCCTTTCCACACACACACCATCTCACCCCAAAGGTACCGCCCTCTCTCCTCTCCACACACAGGCTGCTCTCCCCACGCACCTGTGCCATCACACCCCCCTTCTCTTCCCTCCTGCCACCTTGACTCCTTCCCCACCTTCCCTCCTGCCCCTCATGTGCCCAGTCCTCTCCTGCTCCTTCGTTTCTCCAGCCTCTCTTCCTCTCTCCTCCTCCCGTCCCCAGCCTCCCACCGAAAGGGTCTTCTGGCACAGGCCAGGGAGAACCGGCAAGAGGCCTGCCTGTCCAGGAAGCCCCTGACCTTCCAGGCCCCCAAACAGAACCTAGAAACACAGCGTAGGGCAAGTGCGACAAGAGTAAGCCCACCTCGCTCGGGAGTGGAGCCACCCAGGCCCAGGGCTGGCTCCGTCACTAGCTGTCAACCCAGGGCCAAACCCCCTCCCACCAGCCCCAGCTTATCCTGTGTAAGGTGTGGGCCTGGAAGAGATGACTGCCCCAGCTTGGGCCCTGCATCTCCTGTGGCTGAGCCCGCATTCGTGAGGTTTCCTCCACTGTGGGTGAAGGGGTGGGAGGGAGGCGCTCCCCTGGGAGTTAGGAGGAGCGGGGGCACAGACAGCACCCTGCCCCCGCCCCACCCCCGCCCCAGTCCAGCCGGACCTGCTCATCTTCCTCCCCGCCTCCATGCCCAACACCGCAGCCCGACCCGGCGGGGTCCCCATCCCCATCCCCGGGGTGGGGGAGAATGTTTATCAGCGCTGCAGCCTCGGCTCAGGGAGGACAGCCACTCGCTGCCCTCTAGTGGCCGCCGCGGGCACCGCGGGCTGGCGGGAGCGGAAGGCGGCGCGGCGGGAGCCAGAGCTGAGTGACAGCGCTCCCGCCGGGAAGAGCTTGCCATTCCAGCCGCTGCTCTTGACACCTGGAGACCCCAGGCCCTTGTTCAGTGTCACCAAGGCCGGCGGCAGAGCTGGCTGGGGCCACGGGCCCCATTACTCACCACATGGAGTGGCCCAGGTACTCGTCGTAGTAGTAGAGCAGCTCAAAGGAGTCGATCTGGGGGCGGCAGAGGCGAGTCAGGGTCAGAGTGGGAGGGGCTTCGGGGAGGGGCTTCAGGGAGGGTACGGGACCCACGCAACCCGGCGGCCCCCCTCCCCCCAATGCCCAGGCCTCCCCCAGCTGCCCTCAGTCCCTCCCTACCCGGAGGAGGGGGCCCTGGTGGGAGCCTACGTGCCACTTCCTAGCAACACAGGAGCATCCTAGCTTGGGGGGGGGCTGCCCTCATCTAGGGCACCATGATAGGTCGGGCAGCCTCTTTGGGCCCCAGGACGGATCGCACTGCCGGGGTGGAGGCTCACCAGCGTCTCCGGCTTGAGATTCTTGATGATGGGGTTCTCGCGGACTGACAGGTGGTTCTGGTAGCCGCTGAAGATCAGGCGGTGGTTTACAGAGTCACCCACCAGGTGGATGCTGGCGCCCATGATGAAGGTGATGATGCTGACATAGATCATGGAGCGCGGCAGGGTGCGTGGGGACCGCTCGATGAGCTGAGGTCAGAGGGAGGCCCGACAGCATGACCCCCGCCTCCACCATGATAGGAGCCGCCCTCTGCTTCCCTCCCTCACACCCAGAGTGGGATGGATGCCACCAGCTGGAACGTCACTCTCAAATTGGTGGGTCCCTTTAGTGGGGCCAGTCCAGCCTCCAGAGTCTCACAAGATCCCTGTGAACCCAGCAGGGGCCAGGGATCAGCACCCTCTTGTGCTGGAGAGGAAACACACTGAGCAGGGCCAGCTCTGCCCAAGGTCACACACACCCACGGGCTGTGCTGGAGGTGACACAGGCATCCAGGCTCCAGGTCCTGCCCTCCCACCACCCCCAGTTCTGCTCCTGGGTCACTGGGCTGGCCTGTTGAGGAGACCCTCCCATTTCTGAGCAACTGAGCAATCCAAGCAAACAAAAATGAAAACGACAGGGATGCGGCAGGTGCTTCTGAAACTAAATTCTTTTACTAAATTTAGACCCTCTGAATTCTGAGATTACACCTTCCCTATTTTTTGGAGATCTGAAATGTCTCTCTAAAAACAAAATGATGGGGACAGTAAACAGCAATAGTTTTAAGAGCCCTTATGTGGCAAAATGCAAAGCCAGCATTGCCGAGAGCTACCTTGGAGATAGCCATCACCCAGATATCTATCTCCCGCAGCTATCTAGGAGATAGCTCTGTGTTCCCAGTGGTATCTCAAAGTCAGGGATCTCCAGGCCAGAGGAGAGAGTTCACCCTCCTTTGCTGCCCTTCCTGCCACCTGGCCCTCACCTGCCTTCCCAACTGGTCCCTGACCTCGCTCGCCCTGGGCGATCCAGCCACTCCTTCCACCTCAGCCTCCCCAGATGTATTATGGCTCCTCTAGCACGGCCTTGTCTTCAGGTGCTCCTGCCTGAAGGTCTCTCCCAGTTCAACCCCAAGCACACCAGGCGGAGGTCCAAATCAAACGCCCCTCCTTGGGGAGGCCTTCTCCATCCCTCCTGGCCAGAGGCAGTCCTGCCTCTCCTGGGGCTTGACATATCCCTCTATCACAGCCTTCGTCCCCCAGAGTTAGGCAGGGGACAGTCTGATTCAGGGCACTCCCGGGGCTTGGCACCAGCTCCCTGCCGGGTGGAGGAAGAAATGAGGGTGGGAAGGGAGGGCAGGGAGCCTTGGACTGTACCTTGAGCAGAAGAAAGGGCGTGATGATGTTGTAGGCCATGTGGAAGTAGTCCCCCACGCTGGGCTTGTTAAGCGGAAACCACTCAAGAGGAAACACCAGCTGGGGAGCAAGGGGAGGAATGATTTTTACTAGGCACAGCCCCATGAGACCCTCAGAACCTCTTCTGCACACACTTCATTCTTTCTGTGATCTCTTGGGATCCTCTCAGCAGCACTGAAGTCAAGGTGTTTTCAGACAGACAAACTGAGTCCCAGAGAAGGTAAGCACACAGTAGACACAAATCCAGGGCCTGACCCTGTGTCCCTCTCCCTGTGGGTACTAAATAAAGGTCCCTGGGTACCGGCCTGAGAGTTGGAGGCTCCTTTGGGACTCAGTTGTGCACCAACGTTCTGGGTGACCCTGGGCAAGTTCTTCCCCTCTTCAGGCCTCAGTTCCCCCATCTGTAACACGAAATGTGGCCCAGGTGATCTACATGGACCCTTAAGGATCTGGCACTCCAGGTCCTAGGATGATGACAAGATCTCCTGGCCACCCAGGTATGGAAAAACACTCTGTCCACTGAGCAGATGGACCACTTCCAAATCAGGTCGAAACTATACCTTATGAAACAAAGGAGAAAGTAAGTGATTTCTACAAAGATTCAATTCTTCCTTTTCTACCTTCCCTGAGAGAGGCAGGCAGGCCAGGGCTGTTCCTCTGTCTAGAATGCCCTTGTTCCTCCTACTGCTCTACACTGTGAGTCCCAGCCTTGTCGGTGTCAGTGGGAAAACCCCTATTCGAGGTCAAAACACTTCACAACCTCTGCCCTGCCGCACCGTACGCCCGCTCTCTGTTGACTGAGAACACGTGTAATGACCGTAAATTTCGATCCAAAATTCACCCTGCAGAAATAAAACTCTCAGGATACAAGAATCTCAATCTCTTTCTCTTTCTTACTTGCTGGGTGCATGTATCTCTGTATCTTTATCTATAGCAAGATATATATGTTGGCTGAAATACTCTTTGAGAGCAAAATACCAGAAATAGGCTGACTACTTGAATACACTACAGTACATCTTTTCTATAGAAGGTTTAGTAGCCATTAACAGAAATGACACCTCATATGTACTGACAGGGAGATATCCATGATATATTCTAAAGTAAAACAAGCAAGTTGTAAAATAAAGTATAAAGTAAAATCTCATTTTGGTTAGAGAGAAAAAAAAAAAGGATGTATACATATGTTTGCATGAGTAGAGAAAGGAGTGGAAGGATGAGCCTCAAACTGTCAGGGGTGGAACTGGAAAGGGAGAGTCTCACACTTCTTTATACCCCTGGGTATGAACTGACTTGTTATAACTATGACATATTACTTTTATAACTTGTAAAAGGTTTTATTTTGTAGTTATTACAAATTTGGGACTATCATGGGTACATCTGAAAAGCTCCAGTGTATACACGATGAGCCTAGTTAGGGTTATAGTGGCCACAGCAACTCTGAGCAGGATGGGGGAAGTGATTTGCCCTGCAGGAGACCCCTATTAGACCTGATGAGGCTGAGTCCTAATGAATGAGAAGAGCCACGAGCCTGCCCCTGGCCTCATCTCCCCTCTCCCTGTAACACCAGTTTGATGGGCAGCTCCTTTGTCCCCCAGTATGTGGAACCTTCATGCTGCACGGGGGCTCAGAGCAGCTAGTCCAACCAGTCTTCTTACAGATGAGAGAACCAAAGCCCAGATGACACTGACTTGCCCAAAGTCACTTATGAACCTGACTGGGTGCCCTGACTCCTGGCTCAGTCCCTTTACTTTCACCTACGTTTAAAAAACATGCAAACCTTATGGCAAGCCTGCAGAAAGAGGAATCAGCAGCCACCATACCTCCTCCCCGACACCACTGCCAGGAAGCTTTTCTTCATCCCCTTCAAGTCTTTGATCCCGTGTATACAAGACTGTTAGGGCCATTACTAATTGGCAGGCAGTGAATATGCATGACACTTAGGCATGTTTTTTCTCCTTAAACATTCCAGGTTGCTCTAGAGTATTCGTAATTCCTGTTCAATGCCCAGGTAGCATCCTCTAGACTGCGTACAGCAAAGCTGATTTACCCAGTCCCTACTGCCGGACACTCAAGTCCCTTCCAAGTTTTGGCTATTATAACAACACTGCAATGAACACCTTCGGTACAGAGGCTGTCTTCTTGCTGATTATATCTTCAGGGCAGATGCTCGGCAGGGGTCGTACTGAGTCGGGAGGGATGAACATATTAGGGTTCTGGATAAAATCAGGATGGAAGGGGGTGGGCTCTGGGGCCAGAGTGCCTGGGGGCAGGTGCTGGCTCCTCCACTTGCTGGCTGGGTGACCTTGAGCCGGTTATTTGCCCTCTCTATCCTCGACTCTTCTCATCTATAAAATTGAGATTAATGATAGCATTGGTGGGAGAACTAAATAAGTGTAAACACATGAAGAGCTTAGAACAGAGTAAGCGCTCCATGTATGTTAACCGCTATTTCTAGCTGTTATTATTCATTCAGTACAAGTATACTGGGCACATATCTTGCTAGGCACTATTCTAGGTACTAGTTATCGCCTTGACAAACTGCTTTCCCAAAGGGCTTTGCTAATTTGCATTAGCACTAGCATGTATGAGGTGGCAGTTTCAGTGCTGGATATTGTTAGTTTTACCACCCACATGCAAAAATTAACACCTTAGTTCTTGGTGGGAACTCACTCAATTTTTTTCACCTTCTGTTACCTGTCTATCTTATTCGTGACCAGTGAGGGGATTTGGTGCTCTTCCAGTATTAATCTCCATAGAGGCTCCCACTGGACACTGATGCATGAAGTAGGCTTGGAGGGAAGGGGGCAGTTTCACCAGATGACGCTAAAAATTACCCAAGGCTCAAGTCATACATGATAGGCAAATTCGGCCTATACTCTTTACCTCCAGAAAAACAATACTATCCCAAGGCTGTGGGGGAAGCAGGCGGGATCCTTTCTCATACCCCACTGTCTGAATTGGTGCTTTGGTTAAACCTGGGTGTGAGATATGGGGGGGGGGGCGCAGTATGACTAGTCAGGCCCCCCCGGATCCCCCGCTCGCTGGTAGCTGCCACACTGGTCACAGCCGTAGAACCAAAGGACATGAAAGCATCCAGACCTATTCTCACAGTGTACTGGTAGAGGCAATGACTTGTCTGAGGTCACTGTGACAACTGAAGTCACCCTGTCTCCTCACTGCTGGTCAGGGCTCTGTCCACAGCTTCACACTCACCATGGCGATGGGGCGGCCAAAGTCTAGAAGCCAGTTCTGCAGGGTGAAGTAGAACCAGAGATCAAGGTGGAAGGGAGCCGTGCTGGCAACCTCATCAGCCTTGACGGAGCTGTGCCTGGGAAAGGGGCAGACAAAAGGGGTCAGCTCTTCTCTCCTCCCATGGGAAGCTTCCCCATGAAGATGAGCCACAGAGATTTGAGAGCAGGAGGAAACACACATGATTAAGTTCTAGGAAAAGGTTTTGCTGGAAATACTGTGGTCCGTGGGGAGGTATCCTGGAAGTGGACTCCATCTGCCCTGACCTTTGCTTCTCTATGATTCAGGCAGGAAAATGCCCAAAGGATATAATAACTGTTGGGTTTTCTTACCTCTGGAATGATGGGGAAATCAGATGGGGCAAAGGATGCGAATGTGGCTGAAAAGCATGAAACACGGTGATGGATGATGATAGCTAACCTTTATCGAACACTTTCTATATTCCAGGCACTACTATAGCTGTTTGCACGTACCATCTCATTTAACTCTCTTAATTCTGACAGAAGCCATCTGAGGTTAGAATATTACCCCCATTACACAAGTGAAAAAACTGAGGCCCAAGATGTTAAGCAACTTTGCCCAAAGTTACATAGCTAAATATTTGAACCTAAATGATTAGGTTCCAGAGCTTATATTTTTAACCTCTAACCCATCATTGTATCCACAGTGATTGGTCCATGGAATGGGCATGTGACCTGAGCTGGATCAATCAGAGCCCTCTGGTGAGATGTGCCTTACAGACTATAGACTGGGATGAACAGGGGATCTCCCTTTCCCTTGGTTTCTGAACCATGAGGAGGTAGGAACGGGGCTGCAGGTGTCCTTCTTCTCACCAATCCACAGTGAAACCTAAGAAGGAAGGCAGCAGGGACAAGGTGATGTGAGAGACGTGGCAAGAAGAGGAGAACCATCTGACGACACACCTTTGGATGCCTGTCTCTCCTGCAAAGCAGTCAGCCATCTGCTCTTCACAAATGAGCTGAAGCTAAAGGGCCAGTGCATGTGCCACCTCCTCCAAGAAGGCTTCCCTGATGACGCTTTTCCCAAAGCCCACTACAGGGAGTGCATCATCCCTAACTCCCACTCAGGCCATGACATCACAGGGCTGGAGTTTTGCTCGTATCTAGACCCTCAAGAAGAAGGGTGATTTTAAGGTTCTCTCAACTCACCAACCTCCCCATCAGAGTACAAATCCTCTTTACAGTGTCCCTGCCACTACTTGCATACTTCCAGTGACAAGCAGCTCACTCCTCCTAAGACGACTGAGGGGTAAATTGTACTGCCCCATTAGTGCCAAGACCAGGAGCTGTGTGATGTGAGTCCATATTCTCCAGAGTTTTCAGCTCAGTACCTGATTTATGCTCAGTGATTACTGGCTGATATAAAACAATCTCAGTTACCAGTTACTCATTCGTTTTAGTGGCAAACAACAGCTTAGAGGCACCATGAAGATTTTACTCTGTCAACACTGCTATTGCTTCCATAACTTTCTGGGATCCTTTTTAGCCAATTCCAAGTATGGTCCACACTGGGCTGCTAGAGCAACCCAGACACAGAGAGGCAAGCTCTTGGAGGATCTCATCATCCTCTAGCGGCAGGCAAGGCGGGTGGAGTGGGCCTTTCCTAGGTCAACTAAGTCTTCCTGTCCCCTCTACTCAGTGCCCACCACTTACTGAGTGCCGACTGTGTGCTGTGCTAGGAGCTTCACCAGCACCATCTCATCTAATCCCCACAGCCATAACAGGAGGCTGTTACCCTCCCATTTTACAGATAAGGATACTGAGGCTTAACCAAGGTTACCCCCGCTAATAAGAAGCTGCATCATAAGGAAAAGAATAAAAAAGAGTGGACATATGTAAAAAAAAAAAAAAAAAAAAAGCTGCATCAACTATTCCCTTTGTCAGCCTTCCTACTCCCTCCTTCTTCTGGTGAGAGATGATGTATCCTGAGCCACAGGGAGGGCCAGTGACCCAGGCCGGAGCAGTGGGACTTTTCTAACTAGAGTTGAAAAGAGCATCTTCCTTTCTGGTGCTGGGACGCTAAAGATGAGAGCGCGGGGCTGCCTGTGGCCAAGGTTCCAGCCTCAAGGGACAGCCAGGTGAGAATGAAGCAGCCCTGCAGAGAGGAGCAGGGAAAGAGGAGAAGAAGGCCTGAGAGGGTTCACATTCCCAGTTCCAGGCGTTCCCAAGGCAATGGTTTGTCCACAAGAGCCAATACATTCCCTTTTGCTAAGGGTGCTGTAGTTCACACTGGCTTTCTGTCACTCGTAATCCAGGAGTCCTGAAAGGCAGAGAATTCAAACCTGGGTCTCTAAGGATTCAAGACCTGTGCTCTAAGTAGCTTGCTATTTTGTTGCTTATTATTATAAGCTTTGTGGCATATCAGGAGATCAAGATAGAGAGGGATCGGTGTAGCCTGAAGCAGTATGCAACACCTGCAGGAAGAAAGGGAGCCTGGAAGCATGGATGGGTGGATTCCAGTAGGCAGAAAAGCAGCAGGAGAGCAGGATCAAAGGCCTGGAGGTGGAAGTGAGAAAGGTGCTGAAGGGAGCTCAGATGCCTGGCTTATTGGTGGAAGGAGGAGGAGGGGCTGCTGGGCCTTCGGACGGGGGCAGACATTCAGTCATTGTCTGAGACAAGTGACTGGTATAGAGGTCCCACCGTGCCCCTTCCCCTTTGTGACCATCAGGGCAAGGCCTCAAAAAGCAGATGGTGGCAACCTCCGGGCCTGAAGAACTTGGATGGGGAAGGAGAATGACAGTCCTCAGTGTTTTATTCTGGAAACCTTCAAACTGGGCAAAGAGCAGGATGTTTGGTACAGGAAATAAAGGCGTTCTGAAAGCCTGGGAAGCACTTAAGTGTGGGTCTCTGGAAGCTGTGGATATGAAGCACACACTAGGGGCTCAGGGACTATTTCCTCTTCCACCTCAGGAGGCACTCAGCCAAGGGGGATCCCCATCAGGAGTCCAGCCTGGCTGAGCAGAGCAGGAAGAAAAAGGGCAGGTGCAGGGCAGACACCTAACTTGGGAATCGAGATTGGTGAGCATCTGACTGGTTTTCTCCTGTTGGGACTCTGAGCACAGGGGGCAGATCATGAAGGGTGAAGGCATCCTCTCCCCCAGCCCCTCTCTTGGGGATGAGCATCCTCAAACCTAACCCAGCTTTCTGACTTCACAGGCTTCACACGCCTGGCCTCCAGGCATGCCAGCTCTGGGCCTCGATCATCAGAAACTCCTGCTGAGAAGAGTGAAAGCACGATGGCAGGTAACCCAAGACAAGGACGGCCTTTAATCTCCTCCACGGCTTTACAAGTCTACCATCTGGGAAAACTGATACCACGACAGCTGGGGAGCACATACCATACAGCAGCGGTCCCCAACCTTTCTGGCACCAGGGACCAGTTTTGTGGAAGACAGTTTTTCCATGGACGGGGGTGGGGGGGCGGCGGTGGGGGGGGAGGAGATGGGGGATGGTTCAGGCAGTAATGCGAGCAATGGGGGGGGATGGTTCAGGTGGTGATGGGGAGTGGCAGATGAACGATTGCTCACTTGCTCACCTCCTGCTGTGCAGCCCAGTTCCTAACAGGCTGTGGACTGGTACCGGGTATTGGGGACCCCTGACATAAAGTACATAACATACAGATGAAATATTCAAAGCGGTCAGCAGTCTCAGCCATGGTGGAGTCAGGCAGGGACCTGTGAATGAGGACTATAAAGGGACTGATTTTGGTTCTATATACACAATGGTGAAATACCTGACATGATGACAAGTTTGAACAAAAAATGAGAAAATGAAGGCAAAAAATAAGAGAAAAAAAGGAAAGGCAATTAGAAACTCCAGGAAAAACAAAAGCAATACAAGAAAGCAAATGTAACTGTTAAACTTACTGGACTCTGTAGGGAACAATATTTACATGGCTTAACTAATAAAAACATTGTATACTGATTTCCAAAGTTCAGAATCAATCCACAAACAAAACATGGAAGGCAATTATGGTTAAAAAACAGCAGGTAAATACTACTGTGAACCTTGACAACTTGAAAGTAAAACTATAGATGACAGGAGTTGGGGAAACGGTAAAGAATGCTAGAGATTAAGGTAGGAGACTAATATTCTTTTAAAAAGGAATCAAGAGATACTGCCCTTATTGTAAATCAACTATACTTCAATAAATAAATAAATAAGTAAACTTTGGGGGAAAAAAAGATAGTGCTTTACAGCTGACCGTAAAAGAAATAATGGTATATACATATTCCTTAAGGCTACAAAGGTAACAAAGAGCAAAACTAAAAATGGTGATACAAAACCATCTTGTGAAGATAGGAGCGGCATAAGTGAACCAAATCATAACAGGAAATTAGTGGGTAAACATTAGCTTAGAGGCAACTGATAAACCAAGAAATAGCAGTTGAGCATAGCTTTTTTTAAAAAAAAAAAAAATATTTATTTATTTAGTTTTGGCTGTGTTGGGCCTTTGTTGCTGCTTGTGGGCTTTCTCTAGTTGCGGTGAGCGGGGGCTACTCTTCATTGTGGTGTGCGGGCTTCTCATTGCAGTGGCTTCTCTTGTTGCAGAGCACGAGCTCTAGGCATGCGGACTTCAGTAGTTGTGGCTCACGAGCTCTAGAGTGCAGGCTCAGTAGTTGTGGCGCACAGGCTTAGTTGCTCCGCGGCATGTGGGATCTTCCCAGACCAGGGATTGAACCCGTGTCCCCTGCATTGGCAGGCGGATTCTTAACCACTGCGCCACCGGGGAAGCCCTGAGCATTGCTTTTGAGTGTGGACTTTGGAGACTGCCTGGGTTCATATCCCAGCTCTACCACTAACTAAATCTTGAGCAAGTTACCTCCTGGGCCTCAATGTTCTCATCTGTAAAACGGGGGATAATACTAGATCTTACGTCAAGAGTTGTGGCTGAATTAAATTATGCAAAAACTTTTTCTTTTTTTTAAATGCAAAAACTTAAGAGCAGGGCCTGGCCCACAGAAAGTGGTATGTACGTAGTATTTGTTATTATTATTTAGAAATATGAATTTAATTCTGGTAGAAACAGTTAAAAGAAGCTAACATGGTTGTCTCTGGTACTAGGGAGAGGTGGAAAAAGGGCCACTGCTTTTTACTCTAAGCCTGTCTGTGCAGCTGTATTTAATCATGGGCATGTATTACTTTGATTACAATACAAAAAACTGTCAACAGAGCAGGTGGAAGCTGGAATAGAGTACCTTGAAAGGTAGTGAGCACCTTGTCAGTAGAGGTATGTAAGCAAAGCATGAATGTAGCAGAGGAAATCCAAGCATCCTAGGAGTCAGACAGGATGATTCTGCCTACTGTCTTGTGCAGCAATGATATTGAGAACCAGCCTACAGGCACCCAATGAGGGCGGGCAGGGACACCCTGGAAGACAGCCAGCCTCTCATGCCATCCCCACGAGCAACCTGGATGGTGGGGAGCTCATGTAGGAGTAAAGAGGAATAGCCAAAGTGGAGTAGTAAGAACAGAAAACAGAAGCCCTGGGTTTAGGCCCTGGTTCTTGCCGGCAAATGATGTAAACCTCCTTAGACCTCAGTTTCCACATATGCAAAATACAAAAAGACTGAGTGAGATGCTGCACGTGGAAACCCTGCATATGAGATAAAGTGGTGACCATATCCACTACTCACACACTGTTGTAATTGGACTACCACAGGTCAAGGCAGTCAAAGACTCCCAACTTATAGGTGATCCGGAACAGAGATGTCCTTAGTAGCATGAAAAAGAGCTACTCTCACCCAAGTCTCTCAGACTTCATCCCAAATCATACCACAAACTTCCTAAAACTGAGCACACTAGTGCTCAAAAACCTTCCATGGCTCCCCCGTGCCCTACAGAACAAAAGCTGCATCCTTAGCCTGACATTTAGGGCAGGAACTAGGGTGAGGCAAGTGAGGCACACAGGGCCCAACATTTAAGTAGGCATAGGGGAGCCACGGAAGGTTTTTGAACACTAGTGCCCCGACAGCATCTCCTTAATTTTTGCACTCAAGGCTCTCACTCTGGTCCCAGCTCTGCTGCCATTCAAGGCCCTTCACAATCAGTCTGCATCCTCCTGCCACTGTACACAAAGAAAGCTCCAGCACCACTGCACTCCTTGCCTTTCCCAAGCTTCCCCTGGCTGAAACAGCCTTTCTTCCCCTGTCACCTACTGAGTTCTTTGAGATGCAGCTCAAGCTCCACTTCCTCCAGGCAGCCCTCCAAGACGAGCTCTCAGCCCCTGGACTGTTCCTCCCAGGCCCGCCCTACCGGACTGTGGGACCCTCCTAGCTTCACCTTACCCACCGCTTTAGTGCCTGGCACAGCGCTGGACACAACAGAGACGCTTAATGAATGCCTACTATGTGCAATGAATGTCTATAATTTGTAAAATGGTATGAAAGTACAGTGGAGGGAAAGATTAAAAGGTGGCTTCTGTACCTCTTCCTCTGCCCCAAGCACCTGGTCTCAGCTACATAAGCCAATAACTTCCCCTTACTGAGAGAAGGGAACAGCAACCATGTGGAAAAAGCCCTTCCTAATTCTTTCTCTGGAGGGGAGCTTCCACATTTCGCTGTCTGTTCCATTTACATTCCCACATTCTTTGGTTCCTCGGGGCAAGGAGTGAGTCTCCTGTTAATATCAGAACCCAAGTCAAGTTTAGAGGCACCCCGAGAACTCGGGTTGGCGCCCGGGGCTTGCAGGCGCGTTGGGGTCCCTAGTGAGCAGAGATGTCCTCTGGGCCCGCCGCCGACGTCCCCACCCCGAGTTTCCTGGACCCCAGCTGAGCGACTGTCCTAGAGCCGGCCGGGCCGCTGGGCAGTTGAACCCCGCCGCTGAGCCTCCCGGGGCACGGGGTTCCCCCAGGAAGAGAAAGGAGCGCGGAGGCGGGGCTCAGGGGAGTGAGCGAGAAGCAGCTGCAGGGATAGCGTGTGGACTACCCACCCGGGCTCCGCGGCCCCGGTCTCCCGCCCTCCCCGTCACGTGGCGGGGCTGTTGTTCAGCTCCGCCCGCCGACGCGCGCCCACCTGGCCTGCAGGAAGGAGGCGCCCGGCTGCGCGCCCGGGCCACCCGCCGCTCCCGGGTGCTGCCGCCTCCGTGCCGCCGCCTCCATGGCTGCCCCGCCGGCCGGGCCCTCCGTCCCGCTGCCCCGAGCTGGAAACGGGCTCGGCTGGCCTGACTGCCGCGAAAGCAAATACCCAGCGCCGGTGCGGACCGGCGGGAGAGCGCTCGGCCCCAGAGGCGCGGGCCAGAGGAGGGGCCGGCGGGGGGCGGGACAAGAGACGCGCCGCGGGAGCGCGGGAGGCGGGGCCGGCTCCGCGCGGGGAAGGAGGGGCCCGATGACTGTGGCGTCCCAGGCAGTGGGTGGGGAGCGATGCAGGAGGGCACAACGTGTAGCCTAATGGGGCTGGGATCTGCTGGGGTCCCCTGCGTGGCCGGTGGCGGGAAGCTTTGCCTAGGCTGCCCGAGACCCGCATATTAGATATTAGTCTAGGGTGGGCTAGGGACGTGGGGAAAGACTAATTCGACCCAAATGCTCCCCTGGGAAGGAGACGAGACTGGATTTCCCTTGTCCTTGGGGACGGGAAGGCTTGGGGGGACGGGTTCAATGCCCTTCCCCACTGTGTTATGCACTTTCCTTCCTCAGATGGAAGATAGCACTCCTTAAAATGTCAACTCTACGGCCCTTGACGCTGGGAATCAAAAATCGGTGGGATAGGAGGGTAGGACGCAAAGAAGAGCGAATTCTTTCCAGGTTGGGGAGGAGGGTGATGCAGAATCCATTTCCGGCTTTGTCACTTTCTTGGACTCTGTGGTTTTGTAAAAGTTACTTCCCTTCTCTTCCATTCAAACATGTATTAACTCCTGAGCAGCGCCCCATCCCATATGAGAATGGATGAGCCCTACCCTAGTAGGCTTACATGGGGTGTTCGGGGTGCGGATTGGTAAGTGGTGTGCTGGGGAAGGTACTGAGTATTGTGACGGTGGAAACTTGGAGGGGGTGGGGTCAGACAAGGCTTCTGGAGGAGGCCTTAGGAAACTGAACTCCGTTTGCAAACGTGGAGCAAAGCCAATTTACTGACAATGAGTTGTGGTTGTCCGCTGAAAAAAAATGCACAACCTAAAAGTTGAGAATTATGTTTTATTCGGGGACATTACTGAGAACTGTAGGCCAGATAGCTCAGATAGCTTTGAGGAACTGTTCCAAAGAGGTAAGGGAGGAGCCAGGATACACAGGAGTTTTTGCTGAGAAAAAAAAAAATGTAGTCGAACGTCAAAAGATTACCGCTAATCACAAAAACCAGACATCTCAAGTTAATGATTTTAGTGTATGGGAAGATGCAAGAGTCTGGGCTTACTGACCTTTGATCTGCATCTTAGCTATCTAGGGCCAGAATCCTGTTTTTCTCCATCCTGAATTCCCCTCAGGGTGCACAGTGGGGGCAGCTGCAGTGGCTGATGGCTTGATGGTGGACAACTTTTTTTTTTTTTGTCCACTTGGTGAAGGAAAGTACAGCGTTTATTGCAGGGTGCCAAGCAAGGGAGTAGGAGACAAGCCTCAGATCCACTCCAACTTAGTCTTTGAGTTAGGGTTTTTTTTTAAGGGGAAGAACAAAGAGGCTCGGATTAATCATTGTCTTGTGACATTTGTTAATTGTTGTTTCAGGAGTCCGGATATCTCTGGTTATGATTCTCCAACCACATGGTCCATGGCTGGGGGGGTCTGTTAGCTCATCGTGCCCTGGAGAAACAACCTGGGTTTGTATGTTAATGATGATATCTATAGTAGCAATTTTAGTACATTAATGATGTTAACAACAACAGTTTTAGTCACCTGACTCTGGCTGATTAGTGTTCAGTTAGCACAGGATTGAAGTCAGAGGGGACGAGAAAGGGAATAAAGTTTTGGATAGAGAGATTAATCATGAATTCAGTTTAGGGGGACTTGGCTTCAGATGGACATCCTAGCTGTGACTTTGGACTTCTGAGCTGACAATGAAGTCTGAGCAGAAGTCCACCAAACACATGAGGAGTGGGGAAGAGTGTTCCAGTCAGAGGGGACAGCCAGCCAGGGGGCTTGGCATCCAGAGAGACCCTGATGTTTGGAGGAACAGAAAGAAGTTCAGTGAGAGCAGCAGAGGGCAGGGAGGGAGAGCAACAGGAGTTGACCTGGGGAAGGAACCAGCACAAAGGAGGAGAGCCTTTATCCAGAGAACAAATGGGAAGCAGTACAAGGCTGTTGGGCAGGGGAGTGGCACCAACATATTTGCATTTTAGACCCTTTCCTCCACAGCATGGGGGTTCGGGGAGGTGGATGAGAGGAGGCAGGACTAGAGACTGGGGCCCAGTTCTTCTAGTGAGGGTCCTGGACTGGTTACAGTGACAGTGGAAAGGAGAGAATTGATGACATCAAGAGTTGTGTAGGAGGTACCAAGGCTGTGACTTGGATGTCAGGGGTGAGAGAAGAGTTCAGGCAGTGGCCAGTTTCTGCAGCTGGGTGGATGGTGGAGGTACCCTTTGGGAAGCGGGTTGGAGCTAAATGAGAATTCATCCTTGGACACATTAAGCTTGAGGTGGGTCAGGAAGGCTGATGGACCCATGGATCTGAAACTTAGGCCAGACTTGGGAGTTGGGCAGACAGACTTGTGAGTCACAGGAATATAGATGACAATTAGAACCTTAGAGGCTACCTGCGGAGACAGCTTCCCTGTGAGAGAAGAGAACAATGGGCAAAGCCTGAGAACAAACAACAGAGTCCTACTGTATAGCACAGGGAACTATATTAACCATAATGGAAAAGAATATAAAATATAAAAGAATAAGCAACCTGTAATAAACCATAATGGAAAGGAATATATATATATACCTATATATATATATATATATATATATCTGAATCACTCTGCTGTACACCAGAAACTAACACAACATTGAAAATCATCTATACTTCAATTTAAAAAAAAAGAAGCCGGAGAACGGTCTGCAAGGCAGACTGCCTGGATTTCAATCCTGATACTAGCTAGCTGTGACACTTGGGTAAATTGCTCAACCCCTCTCAGCCTCACTTTGCTCATCTGTAACAGGGAGAAGCTTGTTGCATCTACTGCATTGGGGTTGTGATGATTCAGTGAAATCATGCACGTGAAGTGCTTAGCACAGAGCCTGGCACTGGTGGGTTTGTTATTTACAACAGTCTGTCCTTGGACCTGAGGTTTCCCTCCATGATGTGAGGGGTTTGAGCTATGCCTACTTCCATTCTATTTTCTTTCCTGTTTTTTCTCTTGAGAGACTTTTATTGGGTTTATTCCTTCTCCTTTTGATCAGAGCCCGTATGTCCCATCTTGACTGTGGCTGGTGCCTGCATCAGGACCATTTTCCATCAGGGTCATCCTGGGCTCCAGCAGCCCACAGGTCACACCCCCAATGCCCACCCCAGCCCCACTGAAGGGCACGTTTGCTTTCAGCAAGCAGGGGATGTTCCTGTTTTGCATCAGGGAAAGCCAATGTCCTGAGCTGAAGTAGTGTACCCAAGGTCAGCCAATGACAACACTCAGACTGGATCCCAGATTTAATTTTGGTGAGTCTGATCTTCCATCTACAGATTGATCTATGCATACGCCAGAGAAGAAGGATTGAGGCTTCCCACTCTGACCCTAATCTCTCATTCTCTGCTGGCTTTGCAAGCCTGCTGGGCTCCAAAGGTAGGGGTATGCCGTACCTGTGATGTAATCATCGATTTAATAATACCCAGGAGTGGGCTTCCAGCCATTAGAGGATGAGGCTGTGCAGTGGGGGCCTCTCTGGCTCACTTAATCCTCCAATCCCTTAAATACCATCAAATCTGCCTCCTGTTTGGAGCCGACAGCTGCTCCTGAGTGGAGGGGAGTCCAGGCTGGCAGGGAGGCTGGGACTTTCGGAATGAACAAGATGAAAACTCCCTCAGCCTGGTGGGATTATCAGCACCCCCTCTTTCCTGTCCCATCAGAACTCTTTAAAAATACGATCTGTGTTAGCTCTCAAATTGCATGGAAATTGAGGGGAGCAGGGCCAGGGGTGGGGGATAGAGCAAAGTTGGCACCAACTCTTGGGCACTGAGGGATACACATTTCCAGGAATCTTGCTTCCAACTCTCTGGGGACATGGTTCCTGCCCACAAGAAAGGCAAATGGTCTCAGCTACAATTTCAGTGAACAGCATCAAGGTCTGCAGCTGGGAAGGTCCTTTGGGATTACACAGACCAGTGGTTTCAACTTTTATTTTATTTTATTTATTTTTATTTATTTATTTTTCCGGTACGCGGGCCTCTCACTGTTGTGGCCTCTCCCGTTGCGGAGCACAGGCTCCGGATGCGCAGGCTCAGCGGCCATGGCTCACGGGCCCAGCCGTTCCGCGGCATGTGGGATCTTCCCAGGCCGGGGCACGAACCCGTGACCCCTGCATCGGCAGGCGGACTCTCAACCACTGCACCACCAGGGAAGCCCTCAACTTTTATTTTAGCAGAAGTTCTCACTCTTCCAACTAGAGCTGTATGAGCTCCTTTTTAATGCCCACCTAAGATCCTCTCAGCTACACCTGTCTTCCAGGTCTTGCCACTTGTTTCACCAGCACAAGCCAATGGCACACCCCGATCCCCCAAATTTCTGGCCTGAGAGTGCAGGAGTGTCAGACACTCCATGGGGTGAACCTTTGACCAGTAAGAGACAGGGATTGGCAGATAAATTCCTTTCTCTTCCTCTTTCTGGGTGGACTGTCCTAAGCTTCATACAGCCTCATTAAAGAAGGTCCCACAAGATTTAGCATCAGGGGAGGTGTATAGCAGCCAGCTCAGCAAAGTCCTCTGTGCCCTCTCCCTCCTTTTCTCTCTCTCACCTCAGCTTCCCTAGCATCGTACTCCATCATAAAGTGTTAGCACATACACTTCTGCCTCAAGATCTGCTTCTTTGGAAACCTGGGATAAGGTAACATCTGAGAAGGAGGCTCCGTGTATAAAACAGATACAAGTGGGGCCGCTCTGAGTGAAGAGAAACAGGGGCCCAGGTACCATCTCTCTTTCCCCCCTACCGTTTCCAAGGCGATGACCAAGGCCTCCTTATAAGGCTCCCAAAAGCCTTTGATCTCATTCAACTCTGCCATTCCGCTGCTGAGGAAACTGAAGCCTGAAGTCACACAGTGAGTTAGAAGCAAAGCCAGGGCTAGACTCCAATCTCCTCACTCCTAATCTGGTGAGACGAATCCTCAT